ATCATGACAGCGGAAACGGGAACGTCTCTTGGCATCGAACTAAATTATGTGGAGAAACAACATAAAAGTTAAGGAGTATTTGCTTCATTAATGCATTCAATTCCGGACTTCATTGTTTAGCAACATATTTCCAAGTTATCTATCTGTTATCATAGTTGTATACAGTGTGATAGTAATCATTTCACAAAACCAATATATCTCATAGGCAGTTTATATCCGTCAGTTACTTACATTTATATGTAGTGCATTCATGCTCAGTGTTTTCACTATTCTGTATCACGGATAACGTATTCTTTGCAGATACCACGAACTCAAGAAACCTAATTGAAAACTTTCACATCACTTACAAAAATTTCAACGTTTCACTAGGTAAGATCAGTGGTTAAATCATTGAAACTAAGTAAAACCACGTGCACATCTGAAATCCAACTGACGGATTTTCGTTCCACTGCACTGACGTCATTGCAACACTTCTATTGAACTGTATCTAAACCTTACGATACAATTTTGGTTTCCATCCAGGAACAGAGAATCAGAAATGATTCGTGACCTACTTTCCAAGCTTTCTTCTACTCACAGTGTATCGCCATAACTACTGAGTTCTGTACGATTGCAGTAATGCTTTCTATCTTTCCAAACAATTCCAAATCATTGGTATGCCACACGGAAACAAACGTGTTCACATAGTTATTTTTGATGAGTTCACTCAGACAATGAACTCGCTGATATTGCCATATTATGCGTGTCAGATACACTGTTCCATTGAATTGGTGAAGTAAACTTCCACAGTTTTCAGCTAAGCTTTCACACCACTAACTCACCAAGTATATTAGGAACATACTGATACCACAGTTGTTACGAATCTGTTTCATTCTGATTAACATTTGTGCTGTGGATAGTTATTTTTCGAGATTACTACTTCAATTTAATTCACAGTCAAGTTGAAGCGTGAAGTGCAAGACCTCGAAACTAGCAGGATTAATTATTTGCGATGTAAGTTTGAAAATACTCCTAACTAATATGGTGTTCAGTTATGTCGCCTATTGAGAGAGTCATCAACGTTTTAAAAGCAATGGATGCAGAGGTGGATCATCAGTATGGTAAGTGTAACTGACGTCCATTCACTTTTATCTCTGCACTTACTCACTATCCTTTTGCTCATGCAAGTCATTTAAAATGTTACCATAAGACGGTAAGCGTGTCAATATCATTTTGCGAAGATGTATGTAATATGGAAGCAATTCAGTATAATTTTGACCGTGAATAACAATAGCGATTGGGTCACAATCAATTTTGTCAGTGTGTGACCTAACATCTCAGATGAAACCCAAGTTCTGTAACAATGATGACTTCAGACGTATATGAATAATATCACATATTCAATGATTTTACGTGTTCAACATACTTGAGGAACTCATCTAGATACGTGAGATCAGTTCAATCCTCCGAAAGACTGCATAACTCCATGGCATTTGCAGTGTTGATACTTGTTTAAAAAGGCATATATTTGTGCACGGATTGATTAAGAAACATCTACATTGCATCACTGTGTACATAGTGCTGGCTACTGATCAATGTTTGGAAGATTCGTGAGAATATATTGTGCGATGAGTGATGTAAAATAGGTGACTGATCAGTAATGATACAATTATGACCTTGCTACTCTACATCGGTCGAAAGTATTTTATGCACATCAGCGCTGTATGCTTCATCAATAATCGACTTCATCGAGTATATACTTTGTGTTATTTACATCTATTCCTTCAAATCACTCCAAATAATCATCAACTCAACGTATACTTTCCTTGTAGGAGTCTACAATGAACTCTGAGAATGGGACGGAATGCACTGTCGTTTCATTTAATAACACTATTTAGTTTGTAGCACTAGTATCAATACTTTTAAATTGTTTGATTAAATGCAAGTCTATCACGATATTTTTTGTTTTCTTGATCTACGCGAGATGCTGGAAATAAATTATTGAGTGCAAAGTGCTTTGTGATTGCTTGTGTCCTTTCGGTCCTCAGTTTATGCCTATTTCAAAGGTCAACGCAGAAAATCCCAGTCTTCCTCTCTTTTCAAATTTCCGGCTCACCAATCTTCATCTGATTCGCATGTTACTCTAAACAGTGGAGTCGAAGGATCCAAGGTATTAAGGCACATTCAATGTGATTCATTGGATGAAATCTAGATCGAATCCCGTTTCTTATGTATTGTGTGTTTCTCGGATAATAACTAGGCTCAAACCGTTACTTGAAAGGCCGTAGACACTAATGGATATGAATTCGTTGGCACAAAACTAATTACTGATAATCTGGTCAATACTTTATCTCTTATAGGTGTGGATCTCGCTTCACAATGTCCACTAGGTATGTTGTTCTCATCGTCAGTTGACGTAGATAAACAGGAAGAGTAATGACTCGAATCCTTCTGTGAGTGCAATGTACCACTATATGTCGGCTGACCTGAAACAAGAAACATCTGATTGCCCGATAGAGCTACTGTAAGGAATTTCTTCGGGTGCCAGGATAAGTGAAGTATTTGTAGCGTGACGTCGACTCCCAATCGACTATGAACACCGCTAACAAAGAACACGTGCCAAAGAAATCAGAAAGCGAAGCTCGAACGTAACCAGATTTATTCGGTTGGCGATCTCATGGTATCCAATAAATACCGAGACCGTGCAAAGAAATGGTACAACCGAAAGCAGGAGAATGGAGTACGTGCAAACAGTACCAAAAGCCACGGAACAATGATGGGAGATAATGGAAGCACAAAATGGCTGTAATTAGCACAGTTAAACAAAAGCACATTAAAACAAACACTGGTACGGTTGGTCATAATAATAATTGTTTTTATTAACCCATTCGTGTTCTTGTGATAAATGTGAGTCATCACAGGAGCCCCCCGCTAGAAAGGGTTTACACTTTCGATAAATAGCGGTTTAGATCGTGGGACTGATCGGCTGACGAGCGATTGTAGGACAGAAGAATTGGCGAAACAGGAAAGCGATCGTTGATCGTCGAGTTGCCAACGAAATTCTTTTTCGGAGAACGAGACCAGGAGCGATGTGCTGTTTTTGTAGCTTGACTTGGCATGCCACACCAGAGTGGTTTGTATCCAGAATCTCAAGATTGCGTTCGTAGGGAAACGCTGCAGATGTAGGACGAAACCACGTTGAGCCGATGAACCAGAAGCGACTATAACGACCAAGTTCGAGACCAAGCGTATGCCAAACATTCGAAACCAAAATATCGACTGAGTACGTTGACAAAAGCGTGGGTGATCATGCCAGCTTTCGCCAAAGTTGACTGAAGTCGACGGTTCCAAACTGGGATGGTCGAAAGCGTGGGCTCAGGAAACAAAAAGAAGAGAAGAGTGTAGCATACGTGTAGTATAGGAATAATCCTACACCATATCGGTTGTTGATTGTGCGACTGTTGGCGAACTCGTACGGGTAATCGTACTCGGCGACCGGAACGTGAGACGGTAGTCTTGTTCGCATCACGTGAGCCTGCAATCTCATCCGAGGTCAGAGGCTGCGTGGTCTGCTGATCTGGAGGTGAGACTGTCATCTCGTCCGTAGACGGTGCAGATGACTCGCCGCCAAGAGGGGCGGCTACGTGCCTGTGCACTTTTGATCGTTGACATTGTAAGCATTGCTTCGCCCACATACGAACATCTTTATTCATAAACGGCCAAACGTGATAGAGCGTCGGCAACACAGTTCGACTTGCCTTTGATGTGACGAAGGTCTGTCATGAAATGGCAGACATAGTCCAAATGTCTGCACTCTCGTGGTGAGTAGCGGTCAGACTTGGTATGCAAAGCATACGTTAAGGGCTTATGGTCGGTGAATAAGATGAATTGACGTCCCTCTACTGCGTGCTGAAAGTGTTTGATGGCGCATTAGGCTGCTAGCAGCTCGCGACCAAAAGCGCTATATCTCGTCTCCGTGAGAGTAAGGCGTCGTGAGAAAAACTCGAGGGGTTGCCAACTACCGGAGATATTTTTTTGCATGACTGCTCCTATAGCGACATCGGATGCATCAACCGCTATACTAAGCGGGGCTGATGGGGCGAGAAGAATGGCTTGCGCAAGAGCCGTTTTGATCTATGTGAATGCAGTACGTGCAGAATTGTGAGTTGCCGCGAAGTAAGTCGGTTAGTGGTCGTAACCGTTCTGCCGCGTGTGGGATGAAACGACGGTAGAAGTTAACCAAACCGAGAAAAGCCTTCAGTTCGTCGAGTGAGGATGGCAAGTTGTACCACTTTATTGCTTGCACTTTGTCCTCACAAGGTAGAATACCCTCTTGCTTGATAACGTGACCCAGAAATATTATTTCTCGTTTACCCAACTCGCATTTGTCTGTGTTAACTACTATTCCATTATCCGAAATGCATTGGAATAACAGTGTAAGATGTTGATAATGTTCATCTACGTTTGATGATGCGATTAGCAGGTCATCAATATAGACGTGACAAAATCTAGGTCTCGTACAACGCTGTCGATAAACCTTTGAAAAGTTTGAGCAGCATTCCGTAATCCAAATGGCATTCGTAGGAACTCAAACAAACCGAAAGGAGCCGTGATAGCAGTTTTTTCGATATCTTCAAGAGCGACTGGTATCTGATGATATGCTCGTACCAGATCGATCTTAGAAAAGATAGTCGTGCCTTTGAGCGATGCCGTGATGTCGTGTATGTGGGGGATGGGGTAGCTATCAAAGCGCGTAACTACGTTTAGAGCTCGGTAGTCGCCGCACGGTCTCCAACTAACCCCATCTTTTCCGTAAGGCCCGAAGGGCGCGGCTTTGCCGCCTAATGGAACATATGGAGAGGTGAGGTGTGATTCGTAAAGAATGACAATAGGTGCAAAGTTAACCTATCACACCTCGCCTCACATTCTCCACCAATTAAACAGATGAGCACCTGAGCGGAGAACAAACATACTTCCGACAAAATAGTATATAAAAACACAGCTCAACTCCAATACGCAAAATGAAACGATCCGTTACACATGCACAGGTCTCGCAGTGCGAAGCTATTAATAAGAAGAAGAAAACACATAGGGAGAAAGTTGAAGCTGAAATTAGAAGACTTGAAGCTATCAGAAATAATAATCCGTTTACACATCCAAATCCCGACGCCGACTATTTATTACAAAACATTAATCTACTCAAAAGAAGTATACAACCAAGAGTTGACATAGATGACGAGCCTAAATGGTTTACCAAAAGGATTAAAAAAGACGAATCTTGGTCTCCGACTACAGCAGAAGAAACCGAGGAAGTATTACGCCTGTTAAAGAGTGTTAAAACACCACCGCCAGCAGACCCACTACCCAGCACATGGTACCAACCAATGCCAGAAAATACAGAAAACTCCAACCTCACCTCAGAAGAACACATTACAATTTATGGATGATTTACCTTTACCAGAACAAGATAATGAAGAATTGTGGACAATGGTATACAGAGGTCCCCAACCCAAATTTGTGAAAGGTCATCGTGTAAATACAATTATAATAAACCATGTTGATCATTACCACTTTGTTTTTCAATCTTCGATTAAAAACCGTTTTCGAACCATACGCAATATATTAAACGCCGGTAATATTACTAGTGACGTTGGGGGAACCTTACAACCTATAAGAAATTGGCATGCATTTATGACATACCTTGTACGCAATCACAATTACACTTCTGAATTGATAGGAAGCAAACTTAAACCATACTACGATCAATCACTATTGGTAACACCATCTGATAAAGACTGTTCAGTTTTATTATGTGAAACTCGTAGACAGAATAAACCCAGCAACAATACTAGAGTACAACGCGGGGAACATTTGATGGATTTAGTAACCTTATACAATGTGACTCAATTACAACAACTGAAAATGAAACTTTCTGCGAAAGACTGATTAAACCTTTATTATGAATACGGTAAATAATGGGAAGAAACTGCTCAATTATGCATAGACGTTTTCAATGAGACCAACATTAAAGAACAAATGTCTGTACCTTGGGTCACATGGATGTCATCCAATCATCACTTATCTTTATGTACAAACCCTAATGACTTTACAGCCAGCAACCAATGGTTCACAAACTTCTTCGAAGCAAACAGTATTGATTCTTAACAATTTCTCACAGACGTACAGACAATAATCGATAAAACTAAATTAAGAGTGAACGCATTATGCATCGAAGGACCTACAACTACCGGAAAAACACTCTTATTAAAATTAATCGCGCAAAATTATACCTTCGGAACAGTACAAAGAAGCGGAGACCATTCACAATTCTTTTTACAAAACCTCAACAACAAATCAATAGCGTTGATGGAAGAACCACGCATAACACAAATAACCGTGTACGATTTTAAAGAACTATTAGGAGGTTCAGCATTTGACATTCATATTAAACACCAACCCGATGCAACATTACCACGGATTCCTGTTCTCATTTCAACCAATAGCAATCTAGGAATGTATATAAATTCTATAGACAAAGACGCTATATATAAGCGATGCATAACGTATTATTTCACAAAACAAATCGGATTACACATTCCAGAACCACCATTTCAATTCTGTGCTTGTCACTTATGTGGGTTCTTCAGGCAAACGTTTACGGATGGAAGCGGATAGCAATGAAGAAGAGTCTGCAACAACAGAAACGCATGGAGAAGTACTTCCCCTTTGCAAGCTTATTAAACCCCGTTATTATAAATCCCGAATTAGAATCGTTAGAAAAAATCATCTCACAATCAACCAATTTAAGCCAGTCGACGACACATCTGAATTCTCAATTACATGTTTACCGTACACATGCTTCGATTTTTGGGGCATTAATGCAGCTGGAACACACTTTCAAGAACCTTATTCTTCACTTGGACCTATTTTCCCATTATGTCATTTTCATTCTGCTTATATGCGCATTTCTCATTTCATTCCTCTATAAAAAAGTCTACAAGGGACGACTTCTATCGACGTTACATCATTTAATGTTGCACCCTACATGTATATTGCAGAAGATACCTCGGGCTCACTCACACAAATATACACTCAAGGAGTCGCAATTACAAAGGATGTAATGGTTAAACAAGATTAAAAATTAAAATCAAATTACTTTTGGCAAACAGCTGAAGATCCCGGATTACTTGGTTGCACTAATGTACAAACACTATCATCTGGCCAAACATACCACAAAACATGGAAATTTGAAAACCATCCACGATTGTTTCACAGAACACCTCAATGGAACACCGATTACCATCAATATTTACCATTTGATTTATTTAGAAGTGGATTGATTGGTCCGGAAATATCAGCTGCTAAAACATGGGTTAATTCTTACAACAACGTTCGAGCGGAAGGTGGAGGCAGCCTTTGGTTAGCTGACACATGCGGACAAATGTGTTCACCGGACATAACAGCCAATCCAATATTCCTATTCCTACCGTACATTGAACCCGTATCAACATCCGAAAACGCGACAAGAATGATGGCCCATGTCCTGATGCAAACATCAATAGACCTTACGGTCTACAGTCCAACATACGGTTGGCAAAACTACTACAAGCAAAACAGCACAACAGAACCCGAGGATCCCTTTAACATGTTTATGCAACAACAAACTCTTGTACCAGAGAATCATAGTATTAATGATGCTACATTACGTTTTTCAAATTTTGTTCAATAAAATTTTTTTTCACTCACGTGTCTTTTCATAAAAACTTTGCGTTCCTCAGTTCTCAGCTCCGTTAATAAATTAAGGAAACTCTCAGATCCGTTATAAGATTTCGCTAGTGTTGTCACTCCCCAGGGGCCAAGGTCGGTGGGTCACGTGGGGTCAGGATCAAACTGTCACGTGTTGCCGTGACTGGCGGTCCGCGGGTGACTATGTGGTATACCACACGATTGGTCACCGATGGAAGCTCCTCAAGTGGTTTAGTGAGTACGGGGAATTTCTCGAATAAAGCGTGGAATTTATCGTCACGCGATTAAAAAGTGCCGAGGATTCGGTACGCGTTCATGTGGGCTCTACAGCCCATGAATTTGCTGTTCGACGAAGTATCGATTAGCTTCAGCCTCATAGTGTTGTAGGACATCGATACCTAGTATACCTGTGGAAACATCAGCAATGATGAACGTCCACAGATACCGTCGTCGTTTGCCCAGGTTGACCGTGAGTTGTCGTGCACCATAAGTAGGAATGACTGAGCCATAATTCCTTAACTATTTCCGAGTCAGATGCTGCTGGTCCCGCAAGAGATTGTAGGCGCGTGAGGTGGTCGAAAGTGAATGACCTGTACGTCTTAGTCTATAACATTAATACAATTCTTGTCGCTATCCGTCATATCGTGTATATTAAATATTAAAGGGTAATATGAAAATAAGCAACAGACGTGGATAGATGAACTATAGACTCACCGAATCGGCTTCTTTGGAAGATTTGACCAGAGGTTGAGGCGTGTTCCAAAATTTGGGTCACCAGTTGTAGCGTGGCGTCAAGTCCCAATTGACTATGAACACCGCTAACAAAAACACGTGCCAAAAAAATCAGAAAGCGAAGGTTGAACGTAACCAGATTTATTCGGTTGGCGATCTCGTGGTATCCAATAAATACCGAGATCGTGCAAAGAAATGGTACAACCGAAAGCAGGAGAATGGAGTACGTGCAAACATTACCAAAAGCTACGGAACAATGATGGGAGATAATGGAAGCACAAAATGGCTGTAATTAGCACAGTTAAACAAAAGCACATTAAAACAAACACTGGTACGGTTGGTCATAATAATAATTGTTTTTATTAACCCATTCGTGTTCTCGTGATAAATGTGAGTCACTACATATCTTACGTTGACAATGTATCTGGTGCATTCCAGGAATAGTTGGTGTCCCTGATTGAAATTCTTCGATAGACGTTATTTTGACAGGCAATGAAGTTAAAGTGACACTTGATAACTCATGACCATCATTTTGGTTCGGTACTGTGCAAGAAGAACTAACGCCATATCCACATTTCTCTATCTCTCCACATTTCCTATCCTACTTTTGTGTTAAATACGGGCCTTCTCGTGTTCACTTTGTACAACACAATGAGAATCAGTAGAATTATCAGCACGAGAAGGAAGCATTTGCTTTCGACGCTTCGAACCTGTTGGCGGTGCTGAGAGAGAATTCTCTGTAGGGTTGGGATCTTTTAATTGACAGTTAGATAGCTTTGGTCTACCAGGTGACACCTCTGAGGTGTTCGAACTATCGTCAAATTTATTCCAATCATTATTATCACTATAGCTGCTATGCGAACTGGTTTGACTCGTCGTTTCTGGAAAGAGAGCTTCCTTATCGTAATGAACCAATCGAGCTATACTGGCTGTACCAAACGTACTTAAAGGTCTTACAATGTCAGATAGCTTGGTTGAAGATCGGTCACAATAGAATCAGCGAAGTGAGTCCCCGAGAGCGAAATCTTACTACTGACTGTACAGACGTATGACAGCTATTCGACAACCACCCACCACTTCCAAACAGTCACAATGGACCATTGAATTAAGTCCCCGACTGTAATTGAAGTTCAAAACGCTAAAGTTAATCTGAAATGCGGAAGAGCAGCTGTTCAATTTGGATTGGCTTGAGAGGTCTTTAAGTATGGTGGTCCAGCTTTAGCGATTAGGTTGGCTAATATTTTAGCTAAAATGTGGCAGTTAGACGTAATCCCATCTGACTGGTCACAATCACTGATTGTCTCAATATATATGAAGGGGTCAAAATCATCCTGTAACAACCATAGAGGAATCAGTTTGACAAACATAGCATCTAAAATACTAGCCTCAATAAATGCCTGACGCCTAACAAAGACTCGTGAAGTGCAAACGCGTGAAAATCAAGCTGGCTTCAGACCTGGTCGTGGTTGAATCAACCACATATTCACCATTTGTCAGGTTCTAGAACACAGGCATGCTTATCGACATCTTACAGTGTTGGTCTCTCTTGACTTAAAAGCATCATTTGACCCTGTAGACCACGAGATTCTGTGGCAGTTTCTGTCATTGAAAGTCGTACCTCAGAAGTACATGAACCTCGTGCAGACTCTTTACTCGAACACTACTAGTCGAGTCAGAGCTTTTGGCGAAATGTCATCTGCTTTCGTAACCTTAAGTAATGTCCGTCAAATCTGTCCATTTTCTCCATTTCTCTTCAACTTCATCCTAGACCTACTGATGGAAATAACGTCCCCGTCGACTGAATTTTCAGTCATTGATCTCATAGCAGGAGATCCAGTTATGAACTTAGAATACGCAGATGATATAGTCCTGTTTGGTGAAGACGCCTTTAAAATGCAGAGTCTTTTGGTACCAATGAACAACAATGCAAGAATGTTTTAGATGCGCTTCTCTCCCTCTAAATGCTAGT